GGTCGAACAATAATTTGCATTTTGAAACGTACAGATGAATATTAACTGGGTCACTGATAGTACCATGTAACACCTGTTAAAAAATCTTTAACTTTGAGTACTTAGTTTAGACCAGTATCTTGCGCATTGTCTGTTTCAGACTCAAAATATCTTGACCACAAAAATCAACGTAAATCTCGCAAAACTCGTTATGAAAATCGTTACCCCATCACAATTAACCTCTCAATTATTCAATCAAGAAAAACAAAACACAGATTTAGACGTTTATTTACTATAATTTTATTATTTTTATTTGTAATTAATAAATTGAAGAATTTTTTTGTCAAAATTCTTTCTTTCAATTTCTAATAAAATTGACAGTTAATAACCGATCATCTCCAATCAGACCCGGTTACCCATGAAAACCTACCGGAAATCGGTCTACTGATTAACCATTTCAACACTACTATAAAACACACAATAGTAATAGGGAAATGTAAATTGTGTTAGATTACAGCAATATTTAACAAACTGACGTAGAAGAAGATGCCCTTTACCTTTCATGAAAGTTTCAACGTGAAAAATCCAAGCGTTAAGTCCCAATCGATAAAATAACGGTTACGTAAATCTTTTAAATCTCGCAGCCTCTATTTTTACTGTTCTCGAAAATAGTGATTATGAGGAGAACTCAATTTTGATTTGACTAATTGAACCAATCAGTGTTAACTACACGCAATAGTAAATAAAAGTAGCGATCAACTAAGTTATTTTCATTTCTCATTATTGTGATTTTGTGAATTTTGCTATAATGATATCAATCCATAATTTACATGTAACAACCGGAGAAGTACACAAACAAACTTAATTTTTATATTTCTTATCTAAAATTCGTTGCCATTTGTAAACAAAGCCTTCTGCGCATGTCCGTAGTCTCAGATACTGGCCTCGTATCAATTACAATAGGACACTCCAATATGATGTTTTAAACGATTCCTTTATAGAAACTATATAAAGGGTTTCACGCATAATTATCAGAATTCTTCACGTTGAAAATAAACAGGTCTATCCCTTCAAAGCATATAAATAATTATGCATAATTATAGTCTAATATACTAGTGGACACAAATGAGCAGCCTTTGTTCACATTAGCATTCTACCATTCATTATGTAAACTCACACAACTTATAGGAAACTTCCTCATGCATCATAAAATAACAATAATTAAAATACATAATGATATATTAAATATCAATAATTATTCATTCAACACTATTAGAGCTAAAACGATATAAGTCTTTTAAAGATTTGCTTTGCCTGCTCAATTTCAAGACAAAAATCAGATTGACCTATTGTTAAATAAACATTGTCACTTCTAAGGCATATTTAACAATATCATGTTATCTGTACAAATCTAAAATAATGGGCTGCAAGACTGGAATTAAATCTCCATAGTCCATAATAAAAGAAAGTAAGAACCAAACATTCATTAAAAGGTTTCCAAATAAGGTTCACAGAGATCCTGTCTAAAAGTTGGTATAAGGCAAATAGCACAGAATAAGCTTATAGAATATATCCGTCATCAAAATTATGTATGATGGTTATTGAAACACATCCATATACATAAAGTGTAGTCTATAAACTATCCATGCTATTTCAGTTTATATCAATGATTTTTTCACAACCTGTTATCCTGACAAACAGGCTGCAGCACACTAATAACTTTTAACACTTTAACTTTTATCAATATTTCATTCACTTCACAGAGCCAATGATATGTCAATCTACTCATTCTAGCTTTAGTTTAAATACTTTTATAATTATCATCTGTGACAAGGGCAATTACTCTATATATGTAGGTTAAAGAATTGAAAATGATTCAATTGAAGTTGAAATATTCAATAAGCTTATGACAGCAGATATGTTCCAGGGTCCATTTTGCCTTGGCAACTTGAGATCTACCATTGAGCCATTTAAAGGCATAGATCATAATAATATAGAATACGTTATTGTTGCCTCTAATTTAACTCTACCAATAAGGCCACACCAAATGGATTGATTGGTCGACGGATTCGCCTCACGTAAATAATGCAAAAAAAAAAAAAATTTTTTAAAGTAATAAAAAAAATTGTCGCTCGTCAGTTTTCGTATCAAAATCCATCGACAAAAAAATTTCATACGATCGGTTTTATTTTCAGCGACAGCGCTACCTACCATGTTATTATATGATGTTTCCTCTTACGTGGATTAACAAGTCAAATCGCCCACCCTAAACCTAGTCCCATTGAACAAAATAGTCATGTCATCATTTTTATGATCAATTTTCCCTATAAGATTCTAAAGCATGGACTATATTTTTGTCTGATAAATACTAATAGCAATGTTATAATCACAATATCACACGCCATTGCGACAAACGGTGGTTGGGTGCCAAATGTTACACAATGACTGACAGAGATGGAAATGAAATGAATGGAGTTTTACATCCTACTTTTCTGCTGACAGGGATGGAGATCACGGAAATTGCCGACTGCTTGAACGGCTGCATAACATATTTGAAATTAATCGAATCTGGCTATTTCAATTTTAATGATTGAGAAATTCATAAATTTATCATCTGCTTTTAAAATATCAAATTTAAACAAAAAAACAAAATTTCTGTCGTAACAAAGCAAGTAACCAAGTCGATTGAGTCTGTTAAATCGAATATATATGCTAAAATTATTTATCTCCCAGATAAGTTACATTTACTCACCCGAGCTTTTGACACAAAATAATCTGCAGAGCAAAAATATTTTCCATAAAAAAAAAAATTAAATTGTTCCATTTGGTGTGGCCTAACTGTTGGAACTCAATTTCAGTGCATACTCTTTACATTTTACTTACAGAAATTTAAACATTAAGCTTACCGGTCAGATTATATTTTAGTTCTGAACCTATTAATTATCAACATTAGCTGAGTAAAAAATTAAACTGGTACAATATTGGTTGTGTTCGCTTATCGCTACTGGTGGGAACAGTTTAGGTTTTTCAAGATTAGCCTGTAGGTCTATGCCGTTATTGACAATAAATATAATAGGCTAATGTCACTCAATCAAGTTACTGTTGATGTGTAACAATATAAACATAAAATCTTAGATTTTTGGGGAGCTTAATTATTGTACCGCTAGACTATATGGATAATGACGTTAGATAAAGTACTTTTTTGTAATTATCATATATGGTTATATGTTTTACATTTTCAAATTTCTAATATTTACCTATTCCCACCAGCAGCAAGATAAATTTTACTCCGTTTTGACTTTTGTTTTGTAGGCTCTTGTTTATTTTTATGGGTGTAAACATGACGTATTGTTTTAAGTAATACTTACTGTTGTGTTATCTTTAATGTTCTTTGACCAAATAATATTTCCTATATTTCTCTTTCTCTTTTTCCCCAACATTGCCAATACATTTTTCATGACATTTAAATCCAAAAGACTTCTAAATAATCTATTCTGATGGCACCACCGACTAAGATGACCCTTTCGTCGATCAGGTCGTCAGAAGTTTCGCAGAAAGTTCCGGTTTTAATGTCGCAGGGACTTGATAAAATAATCTACGTTTCGAGAAATTTACAAAATCACACGATGGAATTGAATAGTTGATATTTTTCTCTCTTTATGCCATTATGAAGTATTGAAACAAGCTCTGATAATCATTTTAGACAGTTATATTCATATCTAGAGCTTTAATTAGAATATAACTATATGTCCATAATAACATTTTGTCCTGCCCCTCTGTTGTGTTTTTTTTTTCTCAGAATGTCACAAAAAATGTTTCATTAAAATGGATTATTCATTAAAACGTTGGCAAAATAATTGAATTAAAGGTCAAATCAATATTTTCTGTGAAATATGCACTAATGAAATTTATATATTTCGTAGGGATTCATTATCAGATAGTCTGGTTAACCACACTTTGATTGGACATAATCCGAAAGTTCTTACCTCATAATGGTCAAAGTCCCAGTCCCTTTACTGAGAAGCATACATTCTTTATGCTAACAAGCAATGTGGTGCGTTGTGAAAATGAAATGCATTTATCACAAGAAGAAAAAGTCTAATTATTGTCAGAGAGAAAAAGCTATTGCAATGCTGCTGCCAATTTTTCTTTTTTTCACACTGCTTACCAGCATGTTTTGAATCATTATATCACGATTACAGGTTTTCCAAAAAAAGGTTTGATTTTCTCTCTGCTTCAATTCTTTAACAAAATTCTTGCTTCTTCCATTTTGATGTCACTAAACACCCGATCAACAGCAAGAAAAAGAGCTTAATAAATCTGCCCTATCTCAGAAATGTGTGAAGGTAAAATTCGTCTGAAAGTATCATTAAGTAGCTTAATTAATTCCACATTTAATAATGTAAAATATGACTCCTTTTGTGTTAGTGGGATTGAAGAAAGAGACCTTAAAGACGTCAAGGTGGCGTTACCTTCATTGGATTGCGTTATGAGCTTTGTTCTGGATCCAATATGGCTGATGCGTGAATAAGGTCTATAGGGTTCATTTTATCAAGCACTGTCAAAATCTGTTAAGGATTGTGCCTTCTAAAGAGTTTACAGGGACAAGGGCAATAACTCATACTAAATATTTTTTTATTCTTCTGATTTTCAATAGGGTTCAACATTCACACCAAGTTTCATCAAACTCCATCAAGAATTGTGTCTCCTACAGCAAGTTAGGATGGACATGGATGACGCCAATATATATGTCCCCCATTTCATGCGTCATAGAGTTATTGGCCACATATTCTAAAATCAATCTTTGCGCCAGATATCCTAGAAACAGTGATACAAGTTAAGACATTAGGACATTCTAGTGTTAAGTTCATGTCGAGAGGTTTCTATGATTGATGCACCTTATGTGATATTATGAAGCAAAATCAAGGTAAAAGCAACAAATGCTGTGCAACTGAAAGCTAGGGCTAATTATCAAACTAAATGACAAAACATGCATGTTACAATATAACGAATTATCAGAAGAAATTTATAGAAAGATTTTATTGGCAAAGCACTTTTACAGCATTTTGAATGATATATCAAATGATAAATATTGATTCTGGATGAACTTCAATCGATTGAAAGGATCTTGTTTCTAATAGTCTATACTGACCAACATTTTGGGTACTGCCTTTCTGAACAATTTGGCATGGCTATTTTACAACCCCGAAAGCACTTCGTGTATATGCAACTATGATTCACTTCAATATCACTGATATACAATTGCAACATAAAAATACAACACAATACCCTACAGAGGAAAAAAATAGACTTAAGATTAACAAAAATATGTCGAAAGTTTAATTTGGTTTTATCAGTTTGATCACTCTCTAGTCTGTCAGACATGATTAGCTAATATAACCCAATCAAAATCCCTGACCGCTACAATATAACGGCTTTCAGAATTATACTAGAGATGACTTTATACATAATATATTAACAAAACAAAACAACTTGGGTTGATTTTCTTCATTTATCATCACCTTCTTCCTCATCATCTTCATCCTCATCATCATCATCATCGTCATCTTCTTCATCATCATCACCGGCAACTTCAGCATTTTGTAATTCTAACTTCTCTAACTGTTGAGCTAACTCAAATTCTTCCAAATCAGATACAACACGTGGCTAAAATTGGAAAATATAAAAAGATTTGCTACAAAAATAGTTCATATTTACTAGCTCCATAATTAAAGTTTATAAATGCCTTTTAAAGAGAAGAATTCCATAATTCCCATTTCCACTATAGATAGCTTACAATATTTGTTATTTGTCAAACCATAAACAATGAAATATAGAGGAGACTTACTGCTTGTTGTACACTGAAGACACCCTTATCAGATTCTATACTTTCTTTGATTGCCTCTATAGCTTTATTTAATATCTCTAACCCTTCACTTCGTTCTAATGTTTGTGTTGTTACCACATATTGTGGAGGAGCTATCAAATTAATCTGAAATTTAAAATTTAAGTGTTTAACAAACTCAAGGCCAAGTGCACTAAATGGAGTATTTAGTTGAGGTGGCAAATTATGTGAAAATCTGTGCTCTATTAAAAAACTGCTTTTGAATTTAAAGAAAAACTCACTTTGATAGGCAGTAATTCTGTGGTGAATTCTAAACCTTTCTTTAATGCTCGTTTAACAGCATCTACGCCTTCATAATTTGTACAAGCCACCTCTATATCTGCTCTGATTTTAACTGATTGTGGTGTCAGACGACGTTTGATATTCTCTAATAATACAGCTTTAGTTTTATCATCAATGTCACATTCATCTAATGTTTCTGGATTTCTAGAAAAAATAGTTTTGAACAATTACATTTATACATAATTTGATTCTGTCAATATTTTTACATAGCCTAGTGGCCACAATTTTAAAATTGTGAAATTTGCTCCTCTCCTGCAGATCAAAACTTGTTGATTCCAAACAACCTCACTTAGACATTTTGATGGTTATTAGTTAATAAAACACTGGCAGCTGGCAGAAATGATAAAACAGTCTTTAGTGACTTTAGTACGAAAGTTCTCATATTAAAGAAATTTTATTAGTTTGAATTCAATGATACATATATTTACTGCCAGTTATTAATGAAAAATCATCAAGTTCAAACTTGTCCACGATCTCATCAATATAAGTGAATACACCAAATTTCATTCAAATCAGTAGAAAACTGTAGTCTCTATTGTGTTCACAAACAAATTTTGACATGTTTTTCCTTTGTCAAGGGCAATAACTCAAAAACCGTTCATCAAAAAATCGTCAAATTCAAAGTTGACCAAGATCTCATCAATATACATTATCACATCAACTTTCATTGAAATCAGATAAAAACTGTAATCTCTATGAAGTTCACAAGAAATGTTGATGGACCAACGGACTGGGGCAACGGCAATATACGTCGGCATATAAAAAATCATAATCCATTAAAAGACAACATAAAGGAACTCTTCTGATAGCTATAAGCCGAACTGACTGACTCTTTCTATATACATAAAACTTTTGATTGTACAATTTTATCTTTTACATAAGGATGGGCATATAATTTTGTTATAAGATTGTAACAATAACTTACAAGACTGCATGTTTAAATATTTCAAATGCCATTCCTGGTTTTTTATATACATCATCAAAGTGCCATGCTGTTTTCATATGTAACTCTTCTAATTCTTCATTCGTTTCATAATGTAAAATTTCAGCTACATGTCTCAATATACTGCTGACCTAAAATACAAGCACATAATCTTGACACATTCTATAATTATTGCAAATGGTTTTTTATGTTCAAGCTTAACACCAGTCCATTTGAAATTTTTTGTTTGATCTTGAAATTTGTTTTAACTTATCATGTCAATTGGGCTAAGCTTACATAAGCATAGAATTTTAAAAATTTATTTTTTTAAATTACGTTGTTACCAAATGGATTTTTAAACCAATTTATTACAATAAAGCACTGTTGGATAAATCACAGAATTTTGTTCCTAAATATCAAAATGAGAAACTACCATATTTTATTAAAAAAATTGTACTTACTGCTTTTGCTTTGGCATATTTTTCTTCACACTTGATAACTTCTTCTTGTGACACTCTTCTTTTAGATAAATCAATGTAACCTTCAAGCATATTTGAATCGTAAGCTTATATGTTTTAAGACATTAACAAGTACAGTTACTAATTTACTGAAACTGGTTGGACCATAAGAAATATTAATCTAATTAATCAGATGTCGAAAAAATTACCAACAAAGGGCTTATATTTTACAAATAACTTGAGGACCAAATAATGGTTGTTTGCACATAATTAGGAATTCAACAACTACATTTAATAAGTTTATTCAAATTTGCCTATCTACATGTGAAATTTGTTCATACCTTTGTCTTTATCAACTCTTATTACCACTACACACTCGCTTCGACCCACACGAATAAGCTTATTGATGGATCTGATACGTCTTCTGGAAAGTTCACTAAGCAATATCATACCCTCAATATTATTATATTCTAATAAATGTACATAGGCACCCATCTCAGCAATAGATCTTACAGTTACCATTACAACATCTTCCACTTCTGGAAAGCGATTCTTATAGAATCTACACGACAACTTCATCTTGATTAATCAAAATCCTTCTGTAATGAAAATGAATAATTTTATCAATACTTCCTTAAAACTCAAGGACAATTATAAACCTGCCTTCAATTATGCTCAAATTCTAAAATTACTGAGCGTTTTAATTGATCAAATTTGCAATTTATGCGTAGAACAACATATCCACACAAAAGTCCATTAATGTCAACACCTAGCTTTGTTCATTTAATACAAGCTGTATAAATCAATCCATGAGAAGTTTGAAAATATAAATATTGTAAGCCATTTTACTGAAGGCCATCAGCAACGTGATTGGCTGTCACTGGCTTGTGATTTGATTAACTGCCATAAGAAGGTCATGAACCATGATCAAAGCTTTCACAGTAGATTTGAACCATTAAACAATGCCCATTCGTCCTTGGAGCAGGTATTTCTTCATATAAATGTATCATGTTATATCAATAGATTAATCGATTTCTAAGTTAGATTTCAGGGAATACTTATATCAGGACTGATGCCATGGCTATATACAGTATATTATATAACATGCAGTGTATGTTTGTGTGTGTGTCTTTTCAACTAAAATCATACTAATGACTAACTAATATTCAATAAACTTATCAATTGCTCTGTGACCTAGGCCAGTGCTTTCATTGAGACTCGTCTCAATACACCAATTGACTGATGATAAGCACATATGCTTAACTCTGTATACATAGAAAAAATGCAGAGCCCATTGCTGGATTAATGACTTGCTATTTATTACTTTATGTACCATGTTCATAGAATAACCAAACGCACTGGTACAGAATGAACAAGAAGTGTAGCCCTTATTGTGTACATTGACTAGATCGATTTTGTTTGTAATATTTTTTGACATTTTTACCATGTTTGTTATTATGTTAAATGCCAAATCTTTTTCAAACTATTACAGTCAAGTAACCTAATTTCGTGGTAACCTATTTTTCGTGGATTTCCGGAAATGATTAATAACTTACATGTGCGACCTCGCGTGACCTCCGCATTTGCTTGTTTTGATAAACATGGGTTTTCTGTACAATGTCAGCTAGTAGAATGAATTCAGTAGTTTCAAGCAAGGTTAAATGTATTAATGTATACTTTGACAAATACAAAATGGCGGATTTCACTTATTACCAAACGGAATTTCCTTATAATCCCAAGCGGTAATCGGAATTCCAAGTGCCGCCTTCTAAAATGTAGTCCAACGAATGAAGTCATGTGATCAACTAGCCGATTCCGTGTCAGCAGTAAATTTCTATGGAACACAAAGTGGGCCATATTCTTATGTTGTTTCAGTGACTTTTAGCAATAAATCACGCTACGTATCTTATTTTGTCAAATTTTTAAAATCGTGGTACTTTGAAGGAATTGTCACTAGTTATAATGAATTGATATTAAAGATAAATACTAAGAAAAGTTAATTATACCACCCGGTATCCATACAACATGTTTTTCTTGACTTATTTATAGATCAAACCTTGTACACGAAAATAGGTGACGCATTCTGCTGCCATTGCCGAGTTGGTTGCTCATGAAATATGGGTCAAAGTGAAGGATTCATAAAGAAAATCGAAACAAACCAATTTTAATTATTTTGTAGAATATCTGGGGAAACATCTAAGACATAAAAAAAAAAATTAGTTTTTTTAACTTTGACGAAATTCGGTGTTGAATCCTTATATCCACGAAAATAGGTTACACCACTGTATAATTATATCTGTACCACTAAGCTAATCTTCTAGCAGAACTGTTGGGGCATCACAGTGACGTCACACACTAAGTGACTGTGAGTGACACTGTCACTGACAGAGTTAGAGACACAGATGGTCGAATTACATATACCAGAGAGTCGGGTCCACTGGTAATATAAGAATGAAATGAGTTTAATTTGATCTGAAGTTTAACATTCTATACAAGTAAACAATATATTTAAAAAAAAAAAAATTATCATACATAAAAATTGGAAAATATACTTTTCACGTGTTCTGATGCAACCGGCAGATAATAACAATGTGTAAATGGTGAAATGGTTCAGAAATATGACACGATGTAATGAAGATTAGCTTCAGAATAATAAAACTGTTGAATGTAAAATTTTCTTTTTAGTTTTCTTTTATGATCATAAAAATCTTGATTGGAATTTTCTTATAAAAAACTATATGTAAACAAGATTACTTAAAACATTAGTTTCTACTTTTCATACTATCAATGTTTTAAATATTGTACGAAACCAAGAGAACACTACTCGTTATCGTTTTGTAGTCTGGATTTAGAGGACAATGCGTAACCATCAGTTTGGAATAAATATAGGAAGTCACTATCCAAACGAATTTATTGAAATTCATAGAAACGCGACTTTTCATTCCAAAGGAACTTGCCCAGAGAACCAAAGACGTCGCTAGTGGGGGTACGGGTGATATACCCTGACTTCATTTCTAATAAATTTAAAAATATAATTTTTATACGTTTTTACACAAAATATATGCCAACATAGAACTAACAGTTTTATGATGCCAATCATAAGAAGGCTGGGGCTATTTACCACTTCGTGTCAAATAGTCCTGAAACATTCTTAAGGCTATTTACCACGTAAACTAACAAACAAAGAGTTTTTTGTTACAGAATAAACTAGTTTATGGTAAGAAACAACAGTTTTTATGGATATATATTCTATTTATTATTGTGTTCAATAATAATAAATAATAAATATATTTCTTAATGTGCTGTGATACTTCTAAAACTCTTACAAGGATTAGTTTATAGTAATTTATCTGGTGTTACATGAATATTCTAGGGGGAAGACGATATTATTGCCATTGGAGTACCTAGAAGTCAACATAATGTTCGCACTTTGAACGATGTTCGTTATATCTCCATATCTTAACAGGGCAACGCTCTGAATTTGGAAACATGTACGATCCGATATATATTTAACGTATTGTAGAATTTCATTTGAATCGATCGAATAGTAGCACAACCGCGTATAGTTTGATCTTTGAATGGCATTTAGTAAAGGTGTTGGATATAATGAAAAAATTCTTATGGATTACAATTACTAACTTTATTTGAGGGACGTTTCGACCAGTGTTCTCTAGTCTTTATCAAGCTTGATAGTGTGTTTGGGCAAGGGAGGTAACTAACTTTACAACAGGAATTGTTTCAAATTTGATATCCTTGATCAACACAAAATAGTATGACTGTAGTCCGAGTTTCAAAGAATTCGAATCAAGGTGCAGGAAAGTAGGACGTAAAACTCCATTCATTTCATTCCATTTTGTTAGGGTTACCTCCCTTCAATTGATCCGTTGTTTACATGTGTTTTACTGTCTGGTACTGTCCGTCGCCATTAGCCCATTTAGGTGCAGAGGGTAGGGCGTGAAATTCCATTCATTTCATTTCATTTTCCATAGGGAGACCTGCGCCTATGGCGCTTCCACAAAACCACCACATTTTGAATTCAACCCGACAGTTGTCCCCAATTTAGTGGTTGGTTAGTGGTTAGATCACATGATAGTCAACGTGCCCTTCGGCGGATAGGCCTACTGATGTCGTAAACTATATAGGTAGTTGTTGTACTTGGAATTGGATTGCATGATTCTGTGCTGTTGGGCTTGGTAGGGTAGTTGAGAATACTGATCGGATGATATACCCGGGTGGTGTGGCATGAGTAACTCTTCTAGATTCTTCCAAACTCGTGATCATAGTAATATTTTAGTTGATAACTGTTATTAACAGTCTGATAATCTGCCTATTCAAATGCCCAGTCACAAAAGGCTGGGACTGCCACTGATAGTATTATTATATATCAATTATTACAGTATCAATAGCAGTATAGCAATAACTCCTTAGACTACCTACCAAATCTAATTGGCAGATGTCTCCCGCAAGGGTAGTGACTCTGTCCGTACTGAATTTATATTTTGCCATTGAAAGGCTTTATATTGCTTCATAGGGGTAAATGGTTATTTGTAAAGTCATTCAATTTTTAGCTCGTAAACAGATTTTTACAAACCTTGGTCATATTATACAGTATCGCCTCAAAAAATCAAAAAAAAGTGTATGAATGAAGGTTAAATATTTGTTATACCGGTGATTGTTACTCTACTGCCAAATAATTCTATTCAAAATCAAGCTGCCAGTGGGCGTATTTTACCTTGCCTGGAAAGCTATCTTTTAATTTGTTGTAAATAAAGAGTAGTTACAATTTGGGGTACAAACGTTTCTCCATCTATTTTGTGGGTGAGTCCTTTTTTATCATATAAGAAAAAAAATAGTTTAAAAAGATAGATTAAGAAAATCATAGTTTGAAACTATTTTAATTCCAAAACAATAATATAACAATAAACAAGTATTCGAAAAACAACATTGAAATCATTTTTTTCTGATCTCCAAGAACTTTAAGTGTTTACAAATATCCTTTTGAAACACCGGTACCATAACACAACAAAAATAACCTTACATTCATAATGTACATTCATAATACACCTACATTTTATATTCTGCATATAAAAATGGAAGGCAGTTGATACTGCCCAATCATTATTTCGATGTGATATTTGTGGAAAAAATTACATGGAACACCCGATACCATCCTGTGACTTTCTTTGTAAATTCGGCTTTTATCTCGAAAAGTAAATGTTCGTGTAGTTACTTTTTGCATTCTGTTACTTAAGTAGGCAACAGTGGTCCATTGTAACTATTAGTTTATGCACAGACAATTCCACTTAATATTGCATAATAAAGAAAATTGTGTATTCTACACAATAAAACCATTTCTGTAACCATCTTATGATAATAGGCGAAGAACCCCTAAAAACTTGCAGATTAATCAAGATAGTTCACGATAACACGACTGGAAAGTGCTTATACTAATTTGTATAGTTCAGTTTAAAATTATTTTACATTATTAAAAGGTTTAAAAGGGCCTACTATAACTCTAAAATAGTCCAGGGACGATTCTATGTGGGACTTTTTGACAATATTCCCGCCAAAAGACACCATATTTGTTTCCACATTTTTCATCATCCCGGAAGCTTCTGTGTGTCAATAATATGACTAGAAAAATGACGTAGGAATACGGCATTAAGTTATATAAAAGTGATGGTATGGTCCAACAGAAAGCCAACATAATTTCTGGAATGTAATGAAAATGTCGTGACAAACCCCACCAACCGGAAGCTAACAGAATGCTCTCTTTCTTGTCGCCATTTTCTAGGCGATAGGTTGCTCGGATGATTTCAGGTTTCTTTCCCCAAACAAGGCAATTACCATTTGCATACCGCACTTGTTGTTTCTGTTCATCTGCTTGATAATTGATGTAAATACTGACTATACCCATCCCCAAGAACAAAGAAGTTAACAATGGTCCGAGATGTACGGGTTGGTTTACATTATACAGACTAACAGATGTGTACAGTCCGGGAACGTATACCAAACATCCCCAACAAATATAAAATCCAGCTCGATCTAACATGATATCAATTGTTTTCAGGTAGCCAGCTTCCCACCAAAAGAACTTGGTGATGTAGATGAGCTGCAAAGTTGCGCATACAAACATACTGTCCACAAATCCATGTAGTTCGTAGCTTTTGAGCGCGAAAATTGAGACCAGTAAAGCCCACACCATCATGCCGAATCGACAATTAGTGAATGTTTTAATATCAAAGCCAAATATGCGAGGATATAGTTCTGTGCCCCAATAATAATCAAGGATTACATTGCCGGTTGTTCCGCTATCAGTTGTAGACGGTGCAAATAATCCTTTGATATACAAGAACCAACAGAACACAAAGCTAAAGATGTTTAGAGTTGTCAATACTTCGTCAAACCTATCATAAACAATAGTGGGACTGGATCCAAATTGTTTTAGCACAACTGTCAATATGGCAAACAAACCCATAGTGGTAATGTAAAACAAAAAACCATTGTCTTTATAAACGGGTACATTTCCTTTTGGGGTAACAGGTCCTTCTACACGTTTACCTGGAAGAAGCTTCATCATGGCCAGAGCGTACACACAATAACCAATAAGAATACTAGAAGTTGTCCAACTGCCAAACCTTACTTGACTCCAAATCGAATAGAGCCCATCGAACACAGAAACTCCAGAGAAGACTTCCAACATTTTTAAGTAACTTCCATTGCATTTGACGGCCGTAAACCACAAGAATATGACAAGATTGGGTACAAAACATATCAGTAATATTGGGATCACAGTATTATTCAAATGTCGGCGCAAAAATTGGTGACAAGTGCTTTGGCTTAGTTTTTCATATCCATCTTTATATTCACTGAACCCATTCGTTAGAACGTCTCCAGATTGGCTTTTCGACATCTCGTCTCCATTTTTGCGGGAACGTGTCGTCACCTGAAAGAAGGGATATCAAAATTTTACTAGAGAAGGAAAGACGAAGTTTATTTTACGACCACATGCATTCAAATGCATTAGTTATATCTAAACTAGGTAAAGTTGCAAGTGCTCATGATTCAAAAGTACCCAGTTGAAATACACGTGTGGAGACGATTAATTAATAATATTAATAATAAATACTCACCATTTTGAACCTCTGAGTGCTTTCTCAACTGTTTATTTAAAATGATGACTGACCAAACTACAAACCTGAAATGATTAAAAAGAGATAACAGTACAATAAAGTATACGACAGGAGTCTAATTTCTCTCTTTATCTATTATGTAGACCTATATAATATTTATATCGTTAAACAATATACGTTCTATAAAAAAAAATTATAAGCCGAACGGTTGTTCAAAAAACTAACTGAGTACAGGTTACAGAGCACGACACAAAGTTTGCAGAAGGCCACATACAAGTAAATCATAAAACCAATAAATGCACAAGACAAACAAGGAAGGATTCGAAAAATTTAGAATCTATTTTAATTGGGTATGTAAGCAGAGAATATATTTCAGTTAATGAATCATCATTATAAAAGGCCAGCAATATATATTTGTTGATTACCAAAGCATTTTGGATCCGTAAATTATAACAACCAATAGTCTCTTATGCTTCCGACTTCGATTTGCATTATTGGCTGTTCAAATAATATTATGCAGGTCTCTTTGCGTTCATTGTACACGAATCTTATTACATGTATACGGTCATGTATATAATTATATTGCATACATGAAACCTATATCATAATTCATTAAACATGTATAACGTAATCGTGACATAACTATTATGTTTAATAAAGGACCAAATTTATTACAACAGAACTACTTATCATTTGTTATCTGGCTCGGGTAGACTGTACATACATCTCATATAGTCTATAGTATAGATTCCAAAGAGGTCAGAGACCCGTGTTCATTGATTTCAACTTTCTGACCACAGAAATCCAAAATTGTGTCACGGTCAATGAGAGTTAATATCAAGAAATAGGCGTACATTTTTTAAAAAGCATAGAGTTATATTCAGTAATAAACTAGTTTCTACCTATGCCTATATAAAACAAAATGTCAACAACTGATCAACTGAAACTTCAAGGGAGGTAACCCTAACAAAATGAAATGAATGGAGTTTTACGTACTACTTTTCTGCACCATTCATTTCATTTGAACAAAAAATGTTTTTAGAGAATTGTTTCAAGTAAAGTGGTGGTAATAGTATTTAAATCCCGTGGAAGTGGGGCAAACCACACTTAAGTCCACGGGTCCCCACTTATTGAGTTGAGCCACTGCTAATTTGGCACTGCTAAAAAGGAGGCAACCTTAAATAAATCAAATTGTAACACAGTCTCAATACATCCACAAACAAGCTGCACGTTAGCAGTGGACCACACTCAAAACCAAATTAAATGATATAATTTTCATTATTTTTCATCTGTTATATAACCAGTACATTTGTCAACCACGAGTCAGTGAAAAGTCTCAACACAACACGACTAAAAACTAAAGAGTTCAAAACCGGTTCAACTTATTATTATCTACCCTAATGATCTTGATTATTTCTTGCTAAAACACATATATGACGAAAGCTACCGGCTTTTCAATTTGGTGTCATTTTCAATGCGTAAAGGTAAAATACTTACAAAATGTTATGCCAATATCTAGGCAATCTAATTCCAGGCGAAGCGGATATTACAAACTTACAATATATATATACTCTAAACGGAATAATCATCATCATCGAAATTTCTAACAAAGCAGAAGTATGCTTACCTTTTAAATCAGTGCGAAGAGAAGGAAAATACTCAAACAAAGAAAATGAATGAAAACTGACAATGACCGGGATGTCGTCTGCCAAAAGAATAAATTCCTAGCTGAAAATCAATAGTATGGTTATCCTACTCACTGAATAATAATGACAGTGGCGTTTTTACTGTCAATTGAATGGAGAAGATGATGAAGAGTGTTAGACTGACGTATACTTAATGAAATTAACCACTTCTTATAATTATAGCCTGAAGGTGTTGAGTATAAGGCTAGGATTAAACAACACTTTTTGCTTAAAGGAGAGTATATGCTACTATATTAGCCACATGGGCGGTTGGAAAGGCAAACAGAGTTCACAAACTCAGTCGATTGAGTTTCGAATGGAAACATGCCCTGCCTACTTTACGAGACCCGTGTTATTGTTGGTCGATAGTGCCTATAGGTTTACATCAAAGTTCAACATTGTCCTATCTTCATATCTCAGTTTACGAGATTCCAATCCTGTAGCCCACATACTCAAGCCGTACCACCTCCTAAACCTTCATTATATTGAAAGATTTTTTATAACTCAGTAAAACAGATTTACCATTCATGAATAATTTTGATATAGCTTGAAGCCATTGTACTTACTTTTTTCATTTAACCCTGACACGGACTAAACATTGTATTTGGTATAAATCTCGACATACATAAAGAACAATAACCGACATATATATAATGCAAGTTTGGTTAGATAGCAGATACATGTAGAGTGAATCACAAACAAAAGCACGACTGTTCATCAATAGACTATAACGAATAGATTACAATTTTGGGACAAATTGTGGGGACAAATTGTACAGTGTTGTGTCTATGCCTTAGACAAGAGTCACGAATCCCTCTAATGAATTGGTTAAGGGTAGTTTAAACCACATATCCCTGAATCGATGAGCCCTGTAATATAAATTTACATGCCTGGAGGTTTAGTCCAATTGTATCTTTGAGGGACTCGTCCATATATTTGTTTACGTGGATATGATGTATCATTCCAATATAAATCTGGAAGAACGATTTGAAAGGATGTATCAATCAAACAAAAGGCGTTTTTATTTAAGCAAATTGTATCGACACAGATCAAAGTGTGCATTTACACAAGCAAAGCGCCTACAGCGATTTGCCTACAGTCAGAGAAAGACCTGAAGAAAATTGTATTCAGAATTAACTGTCCAATAATGTATGTTTTGGGATTATTGAGAAGTAAACATGCCACTTGGTTATGCCGATGGTTATTTATTTAACGCGATTTGATTTGTACCGTGCTGATAATCGGCCCTCATAGCGAGTTGATACAATTTACTTAATTAAAGATTGCTTGCAAGGCAAGGTAATATACGCCTACTGGCAGCTTTGATTTTAAATAGAAATATTTGGCAGTACAGAACAATTACCAGTATGAAATATTCAACCTTAAGTCTTACACTTGAACTTTGAGGCGATACTGTATAATATTACCAAGTTCGTCAAAATCTGTCAAGAATTGAACCTTCTAGAGTGTGAACGCATTTTCAAGGGCAATAACTCATACTAATTACTTTTGACTTCAACAGGATTCATCCTTGGGTGATTACAAACAATCATACCAAGTTTCGTCGAAATCGGTCAAAAATTGTGCCATCTAGAGTGTTTACGAGCAATTGTGGACGGACGGACGTGGGTGTCGACGATATACACCCCCCTCCCCCTATTTCATGTAGGTATGCATTTAACGATAGATGGAAGGTTTAAACTAAAGTATGTGAAAGCATAAGGAAACATATTAATTGTACTATTGTTGTATCAAAAAATAACTAGGCCTTCACAATTATATTATATGTATAATATACAAACACAATGTCATCATAGAAACAGCTGTCGTACACATTTAACAAAAAATCAATATGTTCAAAATAAGTAGCATATCTTGTTTACAGTCGTTCAAAATAGAGAATATGATTATACATCTAATATAGAAAACTGAAACCATAAAAGCACAATAAAGTGGGTTCAATTTCAATCGATCTGCTTCAAAGCTCACTTTGTATTTTTTAAGATCATAATTGACCTCGGTGTTGTAGTTCTATGATCTCATTCGACTTGGTTTGATCAACATTAAATTCGTGGTTCAAAAATGCTTTGTTGTATCTGACAATAACGTAAATAGATTTTAATTCCTTTTCAAGAGGGTATTCACCTTTACATTCTTAAGATATAGCTTGCCAGGCAAGGTAATATTCGCCCACTGGCAGCTTTGATTTTGAATATTTGGCAGTACAGTAACGATCATTAGTATGAAATATTCAACCTTCAGTCATACACTTCTTTTGGGATTCATCCAAGTTTCGCGCCTTCTAGAGTGTTTACGAGCATTTAAAGAACAAGGGCAATAACTCATACTAAATATTTTTCGATTTTTATAAGGTGTAACATAAGATTACAAACGTAAATGTGTCTTTGTCATTGGACTACAATTATTTCAATGTTGATTTCTGCGAGAAGATTCATGAATCAAAATTATGAAAAAACAATTATGTAGTGGCGCAAACCGTGCGCATTTAACTCACCAACACGCTCGGCAGATAATGTTCTGGATTCGAAATGAAAATCTCACAAACGAATCTTTACTTATACTGAAATTTGAGCACGATGTGGTAATCCAGCTTGTGAATCAATTAAATGGCCTGATCATTTACATCTACGCAGTATTAAAATTCACACCTTAAAAAATTATCTCACATTACATCCCATTGATCTGAGTGATATCGATCTTAAACGGGGTTGTTGAGTGCATTATCGATTTAAAACCCCAAACCAGATTGTATCGCATTCTTTTCATTCAAGTCGCTCACGCCGGTATTTGTGACTTGAAGCAACAATCATTGAAAATATTTAGACAACCATGGACAGTAGCAGCGATAATAGTAATACACATCGGGCATTCCGAAGGACATTCAAATCTTTCGGCTAACTCATAGAAATCTAGGCTGACAACTTTGCCAGTTCCTCAGACGTTATATACGGATGAGATATCGTTAAGGTGCGGGCACATGAACAGTCTTGGTCGCCGATTTTTGTCGCCGACTCGAATCTTGAGCAAAATCTCGCATGTGCCCGCGCTTCCCCAAGATTTTCGCGTTGCCGACA